CACTCTCTTGCTTTCTCTCTCACATACACACAGAATGAACAATTCCTTCACAAACACATATCCTTCGCCTTCCATAATCAGAACCTGGCACAAGGAGTGTAGAGAATAAGCACTTGGGAAATGTTTAGTAAACCCCCAAAATTAAGGAATGATAAATGTGACTTTATTTTCCTATGGAATGCACACTTAGCAGCATTTAGGGGAATGAGAGTAAAACCAACCTCTTGTGGGAAATATTTTAATCAGGCACATTTACCCCCATCTCCCTTGGCTTCCCAGAAAATTTCCAGTGGCTTCCCCAGATCATAATAGTGGCCGGAGTTCCATCACTGCTAAGCCTGGAAAGGCTGGGACACTTGTTTCTAGTATCTAGGGACACCAGATCTAGAAGAAAGCAAGCACTGGGCTCAGACTGGGATTCAGACACTTTATACTTCATTAACGAACTGTGCCCCTTTTTTTCCTCCATGTTTAGGTTCCCCTTCTGTAAAGGGGTAGGAGTACCTTGTCTTCTTTGCTTCATGGGTAGATGGAAGGATCAAAGGAAGTCCATAAGTAAACTGTGAGGGCTTTACAGATGTTCTTGGTTGTTATCCATGCCCTGTGTGGTCTATTTTCCCCAACCTATTCTACAAAGCTTGGCCCTTCCTGTCAATAAACCACTGCCTGAGACTTAGATTTCAGAGATTTCATAAATTATGAAGACTCCTAGAATCCTTCCATTCCCATCTTCCCCCAGAGTTAAAAAGACATTTGCAGGGATTGTCATCTTCTAGTAACCTACGTAGATCACAGGAAGAAATGAGGTTACACATTATCAAGGGACAGGTCCAGGACTAGGATCTTTGGCTTATACTCACAATTTTAGTTCTATTTCAAGTCATCATTTTTTTTTTTTTTTTTTTGAGTTGGAGTCTCACTCTGTTGCCCAGGCTGGAGTACAGTGGCATGCTCACGGCCACCACAGCCTCAACCTGCTGGGCTCAGGTGATCCTTCTGCCTCAGCCTTCCAAGTAGCTGGAAATACAGGCACGTGCTGCCACGCCCAGCTAATTTTTTTTTTTTTATTGTAGAGATGAGTTCTGACCAAGTTGCCTGGGTTGGTCTCTAACCCTTGGGCTCAGGTAATACTCTCACCTCAGCCTCCCAAAGTGCTGGGATTATAGGCGTGAGTCACTGCGCCTGGCCACAAGCCACCAGTTTTTATGTTCCTACTATGTGCCAGGCATTTTACTTGCATTTTTTAAGTTTATTATCCCCAAAGTCAAGACAGGGAATTATTATCTATCCCTCATTTAACATATAAGGAACCTGAGACTTAGAAGTTCCTTTACCCGAGGTTATCTGGCAGGTGAGTAGAAGGAGGAATCAGAATGTGAAATCACATCTATCCCACTTCAACACTGAATTATCTCTCCTCTTCTCATAAGCTCTGCCCTCCAAGTTATTAGTACCCAAGCCCAGATTCTTCCTGGCCTGGTTCCCAGTGTTTAGCAGATGTCAGTGACACATAACTGATGGCTGGGAAGTGAAGAAATGCCGGCTATCTATGAGTCCAAAGGGTTCTTTCATCTCTGCAGAGGCAAGTCCCCAGCTTCTCATCTCCCCACTCCCTAGAATCATTCCTAAATATAAAAAAATAAAACTGGAGTATTTGACCTATAATCTGGTTATTGCAGGTGGAGATAGAGAGGAAGAAATACATATAGAACAGTTGGCCTCAGTGCATCACCTGTGCTCTTCTTGGGAGCAAGTACAGATGGCAGAAGGGAGAAAAGTGCCCTTGCAGATTAGAAGTCCAGAGAGGAAAATATCAAGTTAACCTGGTAAGTTTGTGGCAAGCCAGGTCTTGAGGGGGGCCCAGATGCTGTTTCAGCATTCTTTCTGCCCCTCTTTTCCATCTTAGTTCTAACAGATTCCATGCATCAACTATATAAGGAGTGGGATTTTCTGCAATGAGAAAGTCAAGTCCGAGGCCTGAAGCCAGCCAAGAATGAAGATGGGGTGGGACTTAGCATCAGAGTGGCATCCCAGGCCCCAAATGTGGTATGGAGCAAATTAGTTCAGTGGCCACAGTGAGTGAAGGTTTTTATAAACATAACCTAATTGTATTACTTCAAAGTCCTGAAGCTTATTGCCCTGCTTAATGATGTGTCACATTATTTATAGGGTAGCACAATGAGACTTCTATTGATTTAATGCACTTCCTTAAAGGCTGTCATTGTCACAGCCATAAAACGGAGCTATTCCCAGACAACTCAATTATATCCCCAGTGCCCATAAACCATACCCTGTGCCCCCCACACAGTTGTACGCAGGAAGCAGGAAGGGGTAAGAGTGGGACTGAGGATGCAAAGCCCCAGGGGATGAAAGGGAAGGGTTCTGGAGATGGGACAGGCGTGGGGCCAGGGCTGCATCCAGTCAGAAATGTGTGGCTGCATGAGAAGCACTAGATGAGGGGTATAGAGCACCCCACTAGGTCTTGACCCTGCCACGTGGAGCTATGTGTACACTCCCTTCTTCCCCCTTGCCTAATTGTAGTGCTGAGCTCAATGGAATCTTCAAAGTCCCTTCCAGCTCCCACACTGTGGTTCTATAAATGATGGTTGATTCAGTTCCTGGAGATAGGGTGACTGAACTGTATGAAGAAGATGCAAGCACATTTTTAATATTACCCCTCACCCTTTCCATCAATTGAGAAACTTTCTTTTATAATTAATTGATAATAATAGTATTATATATAACAAGAAGCTCTTCAGTATAGAGAAGAAACATGGGCTTTTGCAGCCAGCCAGTCAGCAAACCCTGTGCTCTAGTTCTAACCCTGCTACTTATTAGTTGTGTGTGTTTGGGCATTTGGCTTGGCGATTCTTTTTTTTTTTTTTAAGTTAGAGTCTCACTCTATTGACCAGACTGGAGTGCAGAGGCACGCTCACAGCCACTCGACCTACTGGGCTCAGATGATCCTTCCACCTCAGCCTTCCAAGTAGCTGGAACAATAGGAACATGCCACCACGTCCGACTAATTTTTTATTTATTGTAGAGTTGAGGTCTCACCAAGTTTCCCAGGTTGGTCTTGAACCCGTGAGCTCAGGCAATCCTCTCACCTCAGCCTCCCAAAGTGCTAGGATTATAGGTGTTAGCCACCACACCTGGCTGGCTTGGTGTTTCTGAGATTCATTTTCCCATATGTGAAATGGGAGTATAAATACACTGAACTCTTAGTATGTGTACAATATTCTAACTTTCTCAAAATGCTGTTACATAAACTACTTCCCTTTAGTGTGGGAAGTAGACAAGAATAGCTCCTTAAGTGCCCGTTTCACAGGAAGAGAAAACTGAGGTAGGAAGGGAATAATCTTCCCAAGGTGAGTGGCAGAGACTGGTCTCCTCCATCTGGTCTGGAGAATTCCAATCCTGACAACAATTGAGATTCAGAGGGAAGTAAGTTCTGGTGACCCTCCTTGAGGATAAAAACCCCTCTATGGGACAGACTGGAAATGCTTCCTGTGGGCAAGAGGTGAGTTTTTTCAGAGGAGGGATAGCTTTTCTCCCAGAAAGCCTGAAAAGAAGAAGGTGTCAGGGAGACACCACTCACTGACCCCACCCTGATTCCTGGCAGTTATTTTTAGAAGATGAGGCAGGAAACAAAGAGCCTGCAGGAGAAGCCCAGAGTTCTGGGTCCAGAACACTAACTTGGGGCCTCAGAAAATGCCTGAACCAAAGAATCCTGCAAAATCATCATAAGGTCCTTCATTCTGCCCATGGCAACACTGAAGCCCAGAGAGAGACAGGGATGTGCTTAAGGCCACACATCTTCTACATGGCAGTGCGAGGATTTAGACCTAAGGCAGCTCAGCTGTCTTCCTAGTCACCTTCCCTCTACATCTGCCTGACTGCCACCTTCAGCAGGCACTCTGGGCTTACCTTTCTGATACTGGAGCCACAGCTGCTGCTGGACCTTCTTGCTGGGAAAGTGGATGATGCAGGTGAGCTCTGAGCCGTAGAGGGCCTCTGCGATGTAGTGGGAGCCATAGTGCTGGATGAAGGACAGCAGCTCCTCCCGACTGCTCTCCTTGGTCAAGATCTTGAGCACATTGGTGAATCCTGGGTAGAGGAGGAGCATGTGGAGATGATCAGACATGGGAGTCTGGTAGCTAGCAAGTTAGATAGTGGCAGGGGGATCTTTCCACCTGCATTTGGTGCCTTACCCATCACTGCTCTGGCAGTCTGGCGGCTGCACTGGTCCAAACATACACAGCATTCCCTCCCTCATACAGCAAATAATGCTCTCTCTGGTGGACACATCAGACACTACAACCAAGAAAGAATCTGCCAGAGAAGACGACGTAAATTCAGTGACCTAGACCATGGGGACTTGAAAGACACAATCAGGAAATCAAAGCTGATGTCTACTCTCCAAGCAACTAATGTGAACCAGGAAAACCGCTAGATGTTCCACCCCTGTATCTAACTTAACCTCAGCCAGAACACCGTAATAACCTCGACAAAAACAATCCCCACTGTGTAATGAGCAAGTCACAGCTGAGATACTACTATGAGTGACTTTCCTTGGTCCCCTAGCTAGAGGAGCTGGATTCAAGTTTATTTCTGCTCACCCTTTCCCTTGCACAAGCTAAACCAGGGCTTCCTGTCCAAGGCTGAAGTCCTGGGGTCACAATCCCCCAGGCTCAGCATGTATTCCATGTCCATGGATCTGATCCCTGCTTTAGCTTCCTGTAGCATTGCTTCTCTATCTCTGCTGTTCTGCCCTCTAACAGTGGTATATTCTTTCTCTCCAGATTGCTACAGATCCTTCTTGCTGTTCTATTTCCCTTACTCCTGTGCTAAGTCCTCAGCACCTAGCAGAGCAATAACTTAGTAACAACTGCTCCCCTCTCATCCTCAAGCAGGCACATGACCATGCTATTCTTCCAGGGGTGTTAATGCCTTCCCCAGTTCCTCACTGCTACTGAATAAAGCCTGGCCTTATCTGGGTGCTCAAGACTACAAGGCCATCTCTCAACAGCCACCCTCACCAGGCTTTAACTCCAGCCAAATTAGCTTTCTTTTTTTGTTTTTTTTTGAGTTGGAGTCTCACTCTGTCACTCAGACTGGAGTGCAGTATCCGCTCCCGGCCACTGCAGCCTCGACCTGCTGGGCTCTAGTGGTCCTTCTGCCTCAGGCTTCCAAGTAGCTGGAACTACAGGTGCATGCTACCAGGCCCAGCTAATTTTTGATTTTTTGTAGAGATGAGGTCTTGCCAAGTTGCCCAGGCAGGTCTCGAACCTGTGGGCTCAGGCAATCCACTCACCTTGGCCTCCCAAAGCACTGGGATTACAGGCTGAGGCAACGAGTCCGGCCAAATTAGCTTTCTTATTTGTCCTGAACATGACCTGGGATCTATATTATCCTTTATTCACTTGTATCCTCACTAACCTACCCTACACACACATACACACATACATACACACACACACACACACACACACACACACACCCTGGAAATGGCCTCCCTATGTTCTCCCTAAGTCACACCCGTGCTTCAAGGCCCCTGGAAGTCACCTCTCCTCCAAGAAGCCTTTCCCACCATCATGGCCAGTAGCACCTACTCTCTGCACCTTCAGTGCACTGCCTTGAAGACAAAAGGTCTGTTTTATTTGTCTCTGAATCTATACATGCATACTCCCCACATGTACATCCCAACCGGGCACATGGCCCAGTTCCAGGGGCACAGCAAACACACCGCCCACAATTATTATAAAAACTGTCAATCCCATGCCACATCAAAGTAAAATGTAAAAGAGCAACCTTCTCTCCAGCATTAAAAATGAGCTCCGATTTGCCAACGTTTGATTTACAAAGGGGTTTTCCAGAGCATCATTATTGATTAATTAAAGCAGATATACCTTTGTAGTTCTAATAAGAACATCACAGTCTTATTCACAAGTTCATTGTGAGGGGGTGGTGAAAAAAACGGAAATAGGGCTCAAAAAATGGGTGTTTGATGAAAACACCCCCTCTCCATCAACGTGTTAACTCATGCAACTGGGCAATTAATACAGTAGTGTTAAAAATGAGCTGGGTTTTGCTAAGTAATAAATAACAATGCCTTGGGGATGCCCTATGACTCCTATCCAGGCAGACAAACTGCAATCAAATCTCTGCTCTGCTCCCTATTCTGCCACTTACTAGCTGTGTGACCTTAGGCATGTTACATAACCTCTCTGACTCTCAGTTTCCTTATTTGAAGAAAAAGGGATTAAACAATGCCTTCCCCACAGTTCTGTTCCAAGTCACAAGATATGAAACCTTATAAGGTACTTGGCAGATGTCAGCCATAATTATTATTTGTACTTCCCACAGGGTGAAGTCTTCCAATTTCCAGGCTATAAGAGCTCCATTTTGCAGACAAACAAAGCAATATTGAAAAAGAAAAGACAAGAAAAGCATTCATGGATAATTTGGGGACATTGAGACAGTAAACCAGTGACTGCATTATGAGTAAGAACAAGGGTAGGAAATCATAGTCCAGGTCTCATCTTTCCAGATTCCTTCTTTCATTGCTTATTTTTAGGTTTTCATTTTTAGTATTTCCCCAGCATACATGAGCACCATGTGCTGAATCTTTGCTAGTTTCTGGGAATACTAGAATAAGTAAAACCCAAGCCCTGCCGGCAGTCCTCAGGTCAGTTGGGGAGACAGACAAGATTCAGATGAGAATCAAGTGCTTATTAGTGCTTTGATACAAATATTTAAGCACAGGGAATTTCTTGAGTTGTTCTGGGAGAATGGAGAATGGGAGGCATCAGAGTACTACAGTCTATGTTCTTAAGGCAAGGAGATCTAGGCAGAGGGAACAGTATATGCAAAATCAGAGGAATGAAAGAACAGGTTCCATTTTGAGCACTACAAATTGTCCCCATCTGCTGGAGCTTAGGGTTCATGTGGGTAAACTGTGGGTGATGTGTGTTGGGGGATGGACAGTGAGAGTTCTATATTATTGATATATAGGAGATGGGCAGGAAAATAATTTAGCCAGGAGAGGAAGAGGAATTGGTACCTGAACAGAATTTACAACTCACAAGCTTGAAATACTCCAAGAACATAAATGCTACTTAGACTATTGTTTATCCCCACTCTCCTATTCATTCTTCCACACCCTGCTCAGAGGCTTCCAGAGGCTTCTTCTTGAGGGCAGAGGGGGTGCAGCCTCGTTTCCTCAATCTCCCCAGTGCCAGTATAGGCCCTGGGACCCCCCACGAACTTGGGAACCAGGCCCTTGGCTGCTCCAGAAGTGATCCTCACCTGCTGAGAGGGTGATAGTGCTGAGCTTCACACGGTAGAGGTTGCTCCGGACCCTCCACTGCTGTACCATGGGGTAGCCCATGGCCTCGTCATACCTGATATCTCCTGTGAGAGGAAATAAGATGGTCATGTGAGCCCAGAATCTGGATACGTCATACCACAATGCTTACTCTGCTGGTCTTGGCTCAGGTAATCGCTAACTCTTAGAAGTGCACGCTTTCATTCATTTGACAATTTTATCTGAACCTCATCTCCCGTCTTCTTCCTGGCCTCTGATCTCACCCCCCTCCCTCTCTACTTTTTCTCTCTGCTCAACAGCTTGAAAGGCCCCTTTATCTTACAAGCAAGAGCAACCTTAGGTCAGATCTATGTCCCACCTAACCCTCTTGGTAACTTGCTACCAAACACTAGACATCTCCACACCTCAATTTTCCCATCTGACACCACAGCTATCTCTGATGATCTCATTTCATAGGCATATTGTGAGACTCAAGCAAGGAAGCCCTTTGTTAACCTAGAAATGCTGTACATGTAGACCAGGGGCCAGCAAACCGGCTGATTTGTTACATCTTGTCTATAGCTGCTTTTGCATTAGATTGCAGAGTTGAGCAGTTGCAACAGACACTACTTGCAAAGACTAACATTTATTATCTTTTCCTTTATGTTTGCTGACCCCTGTGTAGACCATGTTTCTTAACATGGATAGTCATAAGCATTAAATAAAATACACGTATACATAAACATTTCCCATTTCAAGTGAAACTGAGCAACAGTGGCCAAATAAAGCTAATCTGTAGAATTTCTCAACACTTTGAAGAGATTAATATCTTTTTTTTTTTTTTTTTTTTGGGTCAGGGTCTCACTCTGTTGCCCAGACTAGAGTGCAGTGGCATAATCACAGCTCACTGCAGCCTTAACCTCGTAGGCTCAGGTGATACTTCCATCTCAGCCTTCCACACATGGCTAATTTTTTATTTTTTGGTAGAGACAATGGCTAGGCACAAGCAATCCTCTTGCCTCAGCCTCTCGAAATGCTGGGATTGCAGGTGTGATCTACTGCGTCTGGCTAATATGCAGTTTAAGACTCCAGGAACATAGTGTGCTTTGACCATGGAACCCTTTCTATACAGAGGTACAATGGAACTCGTATCTCATAAAATGCATTTCAAGAAATGCAAGTATAAACAAACAAACAAAAAAACCCACACATGACAAAACATTAGCAAGTGGTTAACTTTGTAAGTGTATGAAAAATTCTTGTTTCTGATTTATATGTATCTCCATTTTCTAAATGTTCTACCCTAAACTTTGTAAACTCTATTCTTTATAATCAGGAAAAAATACATAAAAAAGATGCTAGTCACATCAGCAGTTATTATTACTGTTGCTATGTATCTGTGCTTTCTTTTGCCTTTGCAAATGGCAGGCATATTTCCCATCCTTTTCTCTTGTCCCCTGGTGAGTAGGCACTTAAAGAGATATTTGATACCAAGATTAAAATGAGAATCTCATTGGAACAAATGATTTCTTTCTGGACATTACTGCTGTATTAAAGCTGTCCATTACTGTCAACATTTTTTTTTTCCTCCTTAGCCTTTTCAGGAGTAAAATAATTTTTCAGAGGTTTTCATTTCAAGGTAAAATATTCATGATCCCCAAAGATATGTCCACTGGAGCAAGGTTGTTTTGTTATAAATTTGTCCTCTCTGTTTATCTGCCCTGCCTCTCCTGTCCTTCCTTTGCAGAGGCTGGGGAGAATAGGAGATATAGTAGAGGAAAGAAAGGGAGGGTCATGTCTCTGACTTAGGGCAGAGAAAATTCTCCGCACAAGAAGACTCAGTCATGGGGCTCAGACAGCCTCTGCCTCTTCCATCGCTGCTCATCCATGTTCAAAGCAGGCTTGGTGCGGGTGTCTGCAACCAAGGCCCATCTCCAACAGAGGGAGCAGGACATTTTGATGCAGGCTGTTGAGGCGGCTCTCTCATTTGGTGGCATGATGTCACAAAGGAAAAAAGAAATACTTCTGATTATCAGGTAATTTATACATTCATCTCCTTTACCCCTCCCCTTGTCCCTGGGCTATTCCATAAGTGGCCATTACTCTGTTCTTCACTAATCCTATTTGCTCCTTCCTAGATTCAAGCCTGAAATAGAATCTTCTCTCCTGGAATGCCAGCCCCCTGAGGCTGAGTCTGTATTCCCACATATACAGAGCCTAGAACAGAGCCTGCCTGACACATAGTGGTCTCTCAATAAATACCTACTAACTGACTGGCTCACTCACACTCCATTCCTGATCATAAACCCATCCCTGGGCTCCTCTAACCCTGACTCCCATCCAGCCCTACTATTCCCAGAATGAAGGTCTGGAATGGGGTGAGAAATTTGTTCTGGTAATTAAAAAAAAAGAACCAATAAACTCTTGAACTGTAACCATTCCTTTATCAGGAAACATCCAAAGAACGCCAAGTCAAAATAAATAATCATATCAATCTGTACCACCAACAGAGATCCATAGTGTCCCATTTTAATCTACATTTCTATTTCTCACCATCAGCCTGAAAAATAATTGTTATACCCCATTTTACAGAGGGAGGAACTAAGGCTCAGAGAGGGAAACTGTCCTAGGACATAAAAGGATCAGTGACAGTTTCAGGGGCCTTTCCACTAGAACACAGCACCTCCCCACGGACCACAAAAATGTCTGTTTTAGGAAGTGGTGACCTCCCCAACACTCAGAGTATCCAAAGAGCAACAATTACTCACAAGGGATATTGTAGACCTGATTTCTCATTAGTTAGGAGGTCTGGACTAGATGCCTTTGAACAAGAAATTCTATTATCTTATGGAAACAAAAATTAAGGCATATATATTTCTGGACACAATTTCCAAGACATCTTTTACATCTATGATCTCATTTGATCTATATCTAGGACCCTCTTTGAAGCAGGACAGGTCAGGAGGGTGACGTAAGACAGTGGATACAGCATCAGCTTTGGAGTCAAGGCCGGCTATGCTTAAATCCTGATGTGACAATGGACTAGTCACATGGCCCTGGAGGAGTTCACACCCTTCGCAATAGCACCCTTGCAGGGTTACGTGGGTGGGTTAACACATCAACAGTGCTTGGCCCCCAGGAGGCCCTCAGCCCATGTGGGTTTTCTCCTCCATTTATCCCATTTTACAGGAGAGGTTTGTGGAGCTTAGGTGACTTGCCCAAGGTCTCCCAGAGCTTGAAAGTGATAGAACTGAGATTTAAACCTAAGTCTGTCACTTTGCAGGGTTTTCCCTGGAGCAATTATTTTCTCAGTGAGAGAGTTTGATCATCCATCAGGGTGGTCATTCTCCCTGGGCAATGGATGACACACACAACTCCTGTATCACAAAGGCAAAGTTGGGACTCTTACATCTCAAAAAATTTCTCAAGGAAAGGGAAGAAGAGGAAAGAGGGGAATAAAAGGAGGAGTAGAAGGGCATCCCGGGTAGGACAGAAAATATGGAGTCTCAGGAAAGCCTGCAAAAGACAACTTCCCAGTAGGGAGAGAGAATGGTTGCAGGGGCAGAAGTTGCTGCAGAAGGGAATGAAAGGGCAAAAGACTTGATGCTATGGCACTCAGTTTCTAGTCCTGGCAGATATGCTATGTGACCTTGGGCTGGTCCCTTCACCTCTCTGAGTCCTAGATTCCTTATCTATAAAATGGGGAACATAATACCCACCCGATGGATGGCTCAGTGCCCATGTAAAAAAAAACAAAAACAAGCTATGTAACTCAAGTGCTTTCAAACGGGAGAGACTTTTGCTTGGTGAATTCACTGATATTACTTTAGAATCACCTTAAAGCGAACCAAAAAACCAAAATACTGAAAGTGGAAAAAATATCAGATTTGTCAATGAAAGTAAAAAATGTTTTGAGACTCAGGCACAGAGGCGAAAACTCTTTTCTCAGTGAGGTGCCTCTCCTTGAAGAGCCTGGGGTATCAGTGGCACAGTCCCTAGGAGGAGCCCCAACAGTGGCAAGTCCCTTTCCTATCCCATCCCTTGTGAAAGAGGAGGTCTAGTTAGCCCAGCTTGGATCTGCTGAGGACCAATATGCATCTGGAGACTAAATGAGTGGTCAGGAAACCTGGAGAGGGTCCGACACGTGTGTCTTACCAGTGAGCAGTTGGAGGTCCGGGAGGGGCTCAGATAGGACCCCCCGGCACTGCTCCTCCACCGGCAGTGGGATCACCAACAGCCCGTCGGCCAACTGGGGAAAGTCCTTGATGAAGTTGTTCTCCCTGTGGAGAGGAGCAGAGAGACTGCCAGATTGAGGAAGTGGAGGCTGCTGGGTGCTGCAGAGCAAAAAGGCAGGAGGCTATAGTCAGAATAGAGACTCCTGGGTGGGTGGCTTTGCTGTTATGCCTCTGGCTTCCTGAATCCCAGCCCTGAGAACATGGTGCTCGGTACAGGCTCCTGAATCAGGCAGGCTGGGGTTCAAATTTTGGCCCCATTGCTTTCTGGCTGTATGATCTCAGGCAAGCTACTGTTCCTCTCAGAACCTCAGTTTCCTTGTCTATAAAGTGAGATTTGGATCTCAGGGCTGTTGTAAACACTTAATGGGATAAAGCTGCCAATTGTTTAAGATGCTCTCTGATGCTCTATAAACGGTATATTTGGCTGCTAAATGTCCCCTTGCATAAGCAATGACAATGTTGAACCAGGATGTGAGAGAACTGAGAATAGTGTGGAGTGTTTGAAGAACAAGGGGGCAAGATTAAGCAGGAAAAAAAGACTTGGAAAAATGATGTTTGTTTAAGTGGAAGAGCCCGAAGAGTTTTTTTTGGTTTTTTTTTGGCTCAAGCTCCTCCTTTTACAGATAGGAAAACTGAGGCATTGAGAAGGGGAGTGACTTGCTCAATGACAACCAAGGGATTAGACTCAAATCCATGTCTCCTGTCTCCCAGGCTAGTGTTCTCTTCCCTGCCCCAATTTCTTTTTCTTTTTCTTTTTTTTCTTTGAGTCGGAGTCTCACTCTGTTGCCCCAGACTGGAGTGCAGTGGCGTACTCATGGCCACTACATCCTCAAACTTCTGTGCTCAGGCAATCCTTTCACCTCAACCTTCCAAGTAACTGGAACTACAGGCACACACCATCATGCCCAGCTAATTTTTCTTGATTTATTGTAGACATGAATTCTTGTCAAGTTGCCCAGGCTGGTGTCGAACCCATAGGCTCAGGCAATCTTCTCACCTTGGCCTCCCAAAGTGCTGTGATTATAGGTATGAGCCACCACACCTGGCCCTGCCCCAATTTCTTTAGGTACTTTGTCCCTTCCTTATAGGGTAATTCCAGGGAACAGAAGACAGATCCCCGGAAGACCTTAAAAAAATCAAGCGCTTTTGTCTCAAAAAAGGGAATTTTGAGAAGAGGGTAATGATAGTGTAGCACAAGGAAGCAGGTTTCATTCTTTTAGATAACAGATCTCCAAGACAGGTGGTGAGCTCCCTGTTGCTGGGATGGTGCAAGCAGGAAACTTGATAACCAGTTGGCTTGGATGGTATCAAGGACATTTCTGTGTTAAATACGACTTTTGAGGTCCTTTTGTATTCAGAGATCCTCAGAGTTGAAGACACTAATTACAATCTGGAGAGGAGGAGGAGAGGGAGGAGGGCAGTGAGGAGAAGAACAAAGGGAGGAGGATGTTTATTACTTCATTTTGCCACCTGGAATGGTCAACCTTGAAATAAAGATTGGAAAGGCAAAAACAAAAATATGTGATGCCAAAGCAATGCCTTTGAAGCCTGGATCTTAGGCAGTTCAAAAGAAAGCAGCTGTGAAAGTGTCGGGTGGCCCAGGTCACCTTCCTGTCTGCTCTACGTCTCTGCACCCCACCCCAGACACCTTTGAAGCTCATCATCGATTCATTCATTTAGTGAACATCTTCATTTCTGAGTCCGAAAGATGTGATATTATCACCATCTTTAACATCACCAGTATCACCACCATCATCATCATTGTCCTCTCTATTACTTACTGAATCCTTATAATTTACTAGCATCTAGTTAAGCACTTTGCAGATATTTCTACCATTTAATCTTCACAGCAACCCCACAAGATAGATATTATTATCTTTAAATTGCAGATGTGATTCAGGGTAAACACATGGTGGGGTTGAAATTTATACCTAGGTCTGGCTCAGCCTGGAACTGTCTGCCCTAGCATGCGCATGCATAATTGTGAGTTTCTAGGTCCACATTTTCCATTTAAGCATACTGTTGTGTGTGTGGGGGTGTCATATCTGTCTGTGGAGTCATACTCGTTTATGTTTTTATATGCATGGGATCACAGGTTCTACCTAGGTAGGGAGTCTTGGGTTTGTCTGCAAACCTGGGAGTGGGGAATGGGATGTGACTAGAAAAAGACAGTCTTCAGTCAATGAAAATGCCACCATGTAGCCTGGACTTAAGCACTAGCCAGGGCTTGACAGACTAAGTGTCCTTATGCTTCCTTTATGAGGTAACCTCTGGTGATTACGAGAAGGGATAAAAAAAAAAAACAACCCAAAATTATCTTTTGAAGGGCAGGTCCCTTGTAGCACAGGCTTCCCTCACTAGGTAACTGTTCTAGGAACCTATTGGCATCAGTATACCATCTAGTGTTGTTGTGAGAGGCTGCATGTGGCATCAGTGAATTTTTGTTGGAGATTCTTTCAGTGTGCTTGGCCATTTCATGATAGGTGATTTACAAACATAGCTGGCCATACCACTCAAAGTGCTCAGCAGTTTTTGACCCAAAATGGCGTGACCCCTGTGCCCCACTCTACCTATTCACCTGATCTCCCCCTGAGTGACTTTTTTTTGTTTCCTCAGATGAAAAAAGTCCTCAAAGGGAAAAACATGTCAATCAGTATGTAGCATCAAACAACGAGTACTTTGAAGATGACCGAAGTTTAAACATGTAAAAATAAATACACATTTTTTTATAAATAAATTCCAGGGGTTTTTTGTGTGTCCCGCCCCGCTTACATACCTTCTCTAAAAGTAGTAGCAGGATGTGAGAGTAGTCCATGCCCTATTCAGTAAACTAGCATATGCTGATCATGAACTTGGGAAAGAGCCCTATGCTGGGTGCTAAGGACACAGAGCTAAATTGGATCTTCCCAGCCAGGTGGGGAAAATACAAATTGACCACGTAGAACAATCTGTGGGGTCTGCTATTAGCAATTGTGGGTAGGAGATGCTAAGGGTGAGTTCTGCCCATACCACATCCTAGTTGTGTGATGTGAAGAAAACCACTCCAATATCAATGTTCTCATCTATAATTTTGGGCTCATGACAGCTACTCAGCCTGCCTTAGTGCAGTAGCAATAATAACAATAGGCTTTTATTGGGCACCAGCTATGTACCAGGCGCAGTTGCAAATACTTTGCACTTAGTTCTCATACAACCCTATGACATAAGGTGCCATTACAATTCCTGGTTTAGAGACTGAAAAGCTGATGCATAAAGAAGTTATGTAACTACTCAAGGCCACAAGTCTGGGAAGTAGGAGATCTGAGGTGACCTGGCTCTACATTTGTCATCACTGCTCGGGTGCAGGGTGCTGAAGGCCCTACCTATGACAGACACAGAACTGAGACAGACAGGCTGCAGCCAAGAGAAGCAGCCTACCACTGATTATAGCCTTGGTGGCACATCACAGGCTCTGTTCTCCACATGACCTTACCAAGCTTCACACCAACACCACGAGATGGGCACCATCACACTTCCCATTTAACCAACATGGAGATGGAGTTTCCAGGGCTTACCTACTGAGTGCATTTGGGAAACAAGATCTGAAAGCAAATCTATCTTTTCACTGTACCACCCGGGGGCGTCTCCATTTCAAATCTATGGAAATGTTTTTTATAATTGCAGAGGAAGAAAGTTAGAGCCACTTGCTCTACCCCCACGTACCTCTTCTCCAATCCCTCTGCCTTCTCATCAAGTAATCTTATTATCTCTGTAGGGAAATCTAGCCCCACAGAGATGACAGGAGGCTGTATGGTAGGCAACACCGCAGGAGGCAGGGCCTTGGCTCCGGATGTCCCCTCTTATTGGAGGGAGCTTCTAGGAAGCAGAGAGGGACCTGAGGAAGTGCATGAGAAGGAGTGAAAAGATGGATGGGGCGGGGGGAGTTGGCCTGCCAGGGTGGAAGGCTGGGAAGCAGGGAGGCAGGCTGGAGAGGATGAAGCTCTGAATGACAAGACAGCAACTCATGGTCTCTCGGGTCCAGGGTCCCTTCGCGGCTGCCCGGGCAACAGCCATGAGTCCTGCAAGGCCTCTGCCGGCAGAGGGCGCCCAGGGCCTTCGCATCAATCATCTCTTTCGGGAGGCAAAACAAAGATGAGAATAGCAGCCGCAGGGAAATTTCCGACAGGGCTGAAAACCTCAGAGGGAAGCCCAGACCGCAGTTTCAGAATCCTCGCACCTGGGAAAGCTGACCAGGAAGCTGACAGGGTGCCAGATTAAACGCAGGTAGTCAGAAACCAATTCAGATTCTCAGAGCTTGTGTGTGAGTGTGAGTGTGAGTGTGTGTGTGTGTGTGTGTGTGTGTGTGTTTCTGTAGTAAAGACTACCAGGTGACTGACTAATCCTAATAATAGGAAGATAGGAAGAATGAGTAATACTTATTGATTGATCACATCTGTTTCTCATCCACTATGGTGTAGTTTGTGTGCCACAGTGTGTGTGTGTGTGTGTGTGTGTGTGTGTGTGTGTATGTAATAAAAACTAGGTGACTAAGCCAGGTGTGTTGGCTCACACCTGAAATCCCAGAAACTTTGGGAGGCCAAGGTGGGAGGATTCCTGGAATCTAGGAGTTTGAGACCAGCCTGGGTAACATAATGAGACCTTGCCTCTACAAAACAACAACAGCAAAAACTAGGTGACTAACGCTAATAATAGAAAGAATGATGAGATTTATTTATTGTATTTGTTGATCACCTATGTTTCAGTTAGTGCATCTAAATACACGTCTGTGTGTCTGTATGTGTATGCCATTTTAGCTTCACAAGAACTCTATGAGACAACTATTATCATTATTCCCACTTTACAGATGAAGAAACAGATGGTCAAGGTCAAGGAATTTTTCCAACCATGGTCCACAGTTAGGAAGTGGCAGTGGCCAAGAACACATTCTAACCAACCTAGGTCCTAGCTTAGTGCCTGGCTCTCAGTAAGCACATGCTTGATGGATCAATCCAAAGCATGTGCTCTTGATCACTGGGATAGCTCAACTATTCAGAGATGAGATCAGG